ATTATTTTATTCTGATATATAACTTTAAAATATTTTGTAAAAATAATAATGAAAATATTTGTTTTAAAGATATATATAGTTAATCTAGTAAAAATTAAAATAATTTTTAAAACAATAATTAAATATGTAAATTAAAAGATATATCATTAAAGTGTAACATGTTTAAGTTTTTTAAGGGGATAAATATTTATAAGAAGAGAGGATAATGTAATATTTATATCTTTGAGAGGACGTTAGCGTAAAGGGTGTTTTGGTGATAATTTTTTTTATATCGTAAGTTAACGAAAATTTAACGAAAAATTTAGAAAATGGGTAAAATGTTATACATTAGAATCTATCAATGAAGGGAATTTTAATTTTTAACATAGGAGGGGAGGGTAGTGTAATATTTGTATCTATCGAGGAAGGAAAGTGTAATTTACTCATATTTTTTTAGTTTGTTGCATAATTGATAGACTTTTGGATGTCAACCTTATTAAGATGCCTTAGTTTTTATGGTGATGCTTAACACACAAATCTTAATCTTTTATTGAAAAAAAGATTTACACGTAAAATTAAAACATTTTTATATTTTAAACAATAAAACATAATAATCATTTCTTAAATTTATTTTTCTTGAGTAGTGTTAGGAAATTTTGGAAAATGTATCAAATTGTGTTAGAAGCAAAATGGAAAACGTTCAAATATCATATTCCAAGAGACTTAAACGTAATAGAAATTCAAAATTATATTATATCATACTTAGATTATAATGATGTATTTTGATTGTAGTGAAAATTTAATATTTCAACACCTTTTCACTTCACATTCAACATTGTAAACATATAGCATCACAACACAATCAACACATATCAACATGAATAACTTAGTCTTTTACGACAAAATATCCATTTCAACATCACTATATCAACAACTCGAATTTTTTATTTCAACAACATAGTATATACAACACAACAACTACATGCGTCGTCACACATTTCAATTGGAAGATCTTCTACAACATAGGATGAGTAGTTTAAGTAACTTGACCTTACCGAACTAACAACGTAGGGTAATCTTTTAAGACTTGCTAAATCAACAATAAATTGGATATCAATCCACAACACAGTAGCTTAGTTTCTCAGATATCATCACTTAAACAAGAAAGTCTAATACTATTGTTAAGATAGAACAACTAGATATAGGCCTACCACGACATTAGCTAATTTAACTAAGCCTCATATGAGATTGGTCCACCGATTATCCTCAAAATACTATGTCTTTCGATACTCAATTAGGAATTAATAGAACCTCCAAATACTATGCCTTTCGAGCAACTTGCATTTGGTGGCTAAGTTGGCCCAACGTTTCAAGTCTAGGTGCATCCTCCGTCACCAATAACATTCCTAGTGAAATACCATTTATTCCTTCATCCTCACCACCCATTATACCTCTCAATGTTCCCTTCACACAACCCTTTTTTTGACACACTCTCATCCATGCTTTTCCCCTTCTTCGTTCAATCACAATACTCTTTTTTATAACATTCACGTTCAAACCCCTTTACCATTGACTCAACAAAAGTCTCTATTTCTACCTCTTCAACTCATTTTTTTTAGGGTCCTAATCCCTTAGATTGGCTATTTCAAGCTAACCAAATTTTTTTCATTAGGTACCTTGGGAACACTGACTACATCTCATCTCCTTTTATGTGAAAGGTGTGACCCTTAGTTGGTTTAAGTTATTGTACCCCAACCACTAACTAACTGATTTCATACCTTTGCATGAGCTCTTGACTTGTGCTTTGGCCCCTCAACATATGAGAACCATTAAGCCACACATTTTAAATTACGACAAACAAGCTATGTCACATAGTTTCAAACACAATTTGAACATCTTTGTAATCATACTACTAGTTTGACCCTTGAGAATTTTTTGAATTTTTATTATAGATTTAAAACCAGAAATATAAAATGAACTCATGCTTTTGAAACAATCTCCATTTCCAAAGCCATTAGGTTAACCAAGCTCATTGAAGACAAACTCAAGGACTCAAGCTTAAATATACATAGAGCTAACCTTCTTCCTCATAATGGATCTCACCAAACTCATCCTAGAGTGCAACAACTTTGCTTGTTACTTCCATTCCACCTTCGTCTCATCCTTCTTCCCCTAACCCCAAAACCAACCATTCTTCCACAAACCTTCCCATTAAAAGATTTTCTCCTAGCCAACTATAAGAAAGACATGTTGTTGGACTTTATTACTATTGTGATGACAAATATTTTCAAGGCCACAAGTGCACTTCACCCAAATTCCTTATAATCCTTTTTAAGATGACCCTTCCTTTGATCCTAACCCACAACCAACCAAAACTAGCACACTTGATGAAGTCATTCATTTTTAGCTTTCTAGTTAAGCCTTGATAGGATACCCCTATCCCCAAACCCTAAAATTTCAAGGACTTATTATGAGTCTCTTTGTGATGATTTTGGTGGATACTGGCAGTTTTCACAATATATTATAGTACTATATTGCACAAAATTTAAATTTGTTCACTCAAGGTACTAATTTTTTTTTGTCATGGTAGGTAATGGAGAAAACATTACCTATTAAGGTGCACATGCCTTGAAGTCCCTATAACATTTCAACAAGATATGTTCACCATTTCATGCTACCTACTATCCATCCAAGGTGTTGATGTCATCCTCGGGATTGAATGGTTATAATCTATTGGGCTTATTGAGGCTGATTTCTCCGATGCTCAACTTTCATTCACTTAGGCCACCAAATTTATCCTCATTAAAGGAGTAGTTTTAGCTCAACCCACATTTGCTACATTCCACCAAATGTGACATTCCATTCATACATACTCCATCGCTTCATTCCACCTTCTATCCTTTAACCTTCCAGATACAACACTCATTTCCCCAACTTCTTCCCACATAATTCCATTTGAGTTATCCAATGTCATTCACCAATTCAATCGTATTTTTGATAAACCTCATGGCCTACCCGCTCCTATATCTCATGACCACCACATCACTTTTATTCCTAACTCTACTCTTGTCAACATTAAGCCATACAAATACCCTCACTCTCAAAAAGAAATAATGTCAAAATTAATCTCAACATTAAAATTGTTGCTTTTGAATTCAAGCCAAGTTGTAATGTAAGGATAGGAATGAAATCTTTGATGTTGCTCAATAGACTTCTAGATGTTATTTTTCTAATTAATGTTAGATATTGCTAACATTTTTTTGTCACAAACTAGATATCAAATTCTTATTGATCATAGGGAATGTTTTTTATTCTGAATTATTTTGATCTCTAAACAGGTTTCTAAATTATTATCTATAGTGATGAAATATTTGTGGTCTCTAAATCAGTCTCAATTTGATAGGTTTCTTATAGTATGAGATTTTTAACACATCTCTCATATTGAGAAATGAACATCTTGAGCTTGAAGGCTTTACCTTAGACTAATCTAGCTTGACTGATGGGTAAATAAAGTTTGACCACGGATTATTTTTGTCAAGAATCAAACTCAAACACTCTCCAAACAATTCAACCTTAGATTCAACACATTAATCACATGTATCTAACCCCTTAATTAATTTATATAATTATATAAAATCTTATCACTAATTGATATAAAATCTCTGACATTTTAAAAAGATGCTTTCATTCATTGTCATGAAATTTTATAATTTTTAATAAATTTTAACAACAACAAATATGTTAAAAATAAACATTATTATTTAGGTCAAATGAAAAAAAAAAACTTTTACTTTAAATTCTTAAAAACAATTATTTTATGTTAATATTTATATTTTTTTATGATTAAATTCTTAAAAATCCATTCTAAAATGATCATCACTAAAAAAATATAAATATAATTATTTTTTAAAAATTATCACTATAATATTTTATTTTTATTTAAAGATATTAATTTTTTTAAAAAAAAAATCTCCCATTTAAGATATGTTTAGCAAAGTCTTAGCCAACTATCTCCCTTTTAAAAATATTGTCTTGTGTATGCAGTCGCGTTAAATTTTAGGGTTAACTATCTTACCTTTTAAAATACCTCTAATATAACAAGGTAATTAGTCACTGTTATCGACAGTAAATATTCCAGAAATGAATTAAAAAAAAATAAAAAGTCTTAGCCAACCCTAAGAAACCAATATCACGCCTCGTAAGAAACCAAGAACAATTATAGCACCGTATCAAATCCTTATCTCATCCGACATCAATATCCGTGAAAAGGACATCCACCTGAAGATTTATATGAAGGGGATTTAAATAATTAAAAATTCCATAAAACATATTAAATATACCTTACTAAGCAGTTCAATAACTAGTTCAGTAGTTACCACAACTCATTCTTTTATTTTATTAATTCAAATAGCGAACATGTCAACATGATTTCTGACAAAGACAAATCTTACATCACACATTTCATTTTAAAATGAAAATCTAACAACAATAACTTAAGACAGACAAGTAATACCTTCCACACAAACTTGAACCCTCATCGGAAATTCCGAGTCTCATTCTATATTAATTCTTCTTTTTAGCAGCAAGGCTTTGAGCCCTAGCCTTAAAATAGACAAAAAGTTGGTCTTTAGAAGGCATAATTTCTTTGACAACTGGATGGTTGTAAAAGTCCTTGCTCCATTTAAAAAGCTTTGGAAATTTCTCACTTGTGAACAATTGTATCTGTGCTACCTCTTGAAGCAAAGGTATGAACACAGCAGCAATATCCACAAAGCCAATGATCTCCTCTCCTGCAAAAAACTTGTCCTTCAGCTCATTCTCAAGAAACTTCAGAGCCTCATACAACTCTTCAGTAGCCTTCTCTTTCTCTTTCTCATCAACCTTTAAAACAAATTTCGCTGCTGCAACCACACACTGCTTTCACAAAATAAAATTACTCATTAGTATTTGGAAAATAATTAGTATATATAAAAATTCTTTTATATTAATTGATCCACGAGTTCTTTTATTCACTGTCAAACTTATTGTATCAGATTTTACCCTTAGATGTCATGAAATGAAAGAATGAAAAGGGATCTAAGAGTTATTATTACCTTGTCATCCATGAACTGGGCCCAGAAACGAGCCAAGGCTCTTTGATAAGGATCAGAAGGCAAGATAGGGTTTTGTTTCCATGTATCATCGATGTACTCAACAATCACAAGGGACTCTGAAATGGGTTTCTCATTGTGAACAAGCACAGGAATCATTTTGTGAACTGGGTTATACTTGAGGAGAAGATCACTCTTGTTGTTCAAATCATCTTCCAAATATTTGTATTCAATTCCCTTCAACTTGAGAGCAATCTGAACCCTGTGCAAAAATGGGCTTCCCACAACTCCCAAAAGCGTCACCTCTTCCTGACTTGAAGCCATCACAGCAGCAATTCACTTCTTCTCTTCACTAGCCTGCAATTAATTATTATTTATAGATACATAGGATGACAAAACTATTTAACAAGCCTTCCTACAGGTATAGAATAAAAATTGAACTTCACTAAAAAAAAAAATTAAATACCGGGGAAAATTTAGAATTTTTTTTTTTTTTTACAATATCACATATAATATGCCTGATTAATTCAAATAAAATTAAAATAATATAAAGATAAATTAAGTTTACTTTATATAAAATGATAGTTTGACTTAATATAATTGTGATATTTTTTTATATATCTTGTAATTTTTTAAAGGTCTTGTCCACACTTTGATATGTATTTAGACATGGATGTTATTGGCATTCTTGGTAACCTTTTATTTTGGACCTTTCTTATAATAGGATATTGGTGTAAGGTCACTTAATTTTTTATAAACTTTTTTACTTATTAATTAGTTATGATTTTATTTTAGTGTGTTATTTAATTAATTAAACTAAAGTTTAGTTAAAATTATTGATCTCATTATATCCATTTCATAAAAATAGAATATCTATAATTGTTATAATATATCAAAAATGGATGGGTTCTCTAAATGATTAATACAAATCATATGTTTATTTTGTGATTGAATTGTGACAATTCAATTCATGAACTTTTAAATAACTAGTGTAATAATTACTTACCATTTTTTAAATGAATAGATCATGCATATTTCACATTAATTAACTCAAGAATAAAAGTAGCATATTTAACATATATCCATGTATTTAATCATCAGTTCTCACATTTATGAAAATCATGTATTATTATTTAAGCTTAACATACATGTATTTCCATACTTAAAAAATGTATCAAATCGTATGTGTTTCACAATTCAGAAGCAATCAAGTTTTGTGGTTGAATTAACATTGTAATGAACATGCTAATTCAATAATACTATCATTGTATATATACATTTATTAGTATTTTAACGGACAATTGACAGAAAAACACAAATCAAAATCTAAAAGTTTGATGACATAAATCACAAAAAAAAAATTTATTAGGGACAAAATTTGCCAAAAAGTGAAAGTTTAGGAACAAAAACTATAATTAAGCTTGTGTTAGACATTTCACATCATTAAGTTTATCCATGACAAACATGTCATGTTATAGTATATTTTTATAGACAATTGATATGAGAACATAAGTCACAAAATCTAAAAGTTTGAGACATAATTAATGAGAAAAAATTTGGAGATATAATTTGTGCCTAAAAGGTTAAATTTTAGGGTTTAAAGTGTAATTTAGTTTTTTTTTTTTTAATTTTTAGAAATAATTATCATATTATTTTTATTTTTAGTGTTTTTAAATAAGCATACGTGAATTCATTATCTTTTTAACAAGTCTTTAAAATTATAAAAATAGTCAAATTGGTGTGATGCTTTTGTAATTATTAATAAAGAACAAATTAAAGGCTTTAAAGCACGTAACAAAAAAAATGTGTTCTCGATTAAGTAAACTTTAAAAAAGAAATAAAAACTTAAATATGTTTACAAGTTTAGTTCCTAGATTTTTTTTTCTTTTGAAATTGTCATTGAATTTTATTTTATTAATATAATATACCAAATTTCGGCTTTTATTATTGTAATATGTAAATACTTTATTTTTAAGTCTCAGTTAACTTGTTTTCTTTCAAGAACTAATTTAAAATGAATCTACTATTATAAGAATAGAATGAAAAACTAGATATACTACAAGAACTTAAAAAAAAAAAAAAAAAAAAAAAAAAAAAAAAAAAAAAAAAAAAAAAACCTTACAAAGAACTATTTCATTAAAAAAAAAGCAAAAAGTGCATATTATTTTTATTTTTAGTGAATGAGACACAAAACCAGTTGACGCAAACCTTTTTTTTTTTAAATTGATGTTTAATCTTTAAAATTTATAATTTATTGTATTCGAAAATAAATTAAATTTTTTATTTTATTTTAATAGCAGTTAATTATCATAAATCTTTTTGGCGTGATCTTTATTTATATAAATACTTTTATCTAAACAAAATAATACTAAATAGACAAGTTTAAAAATTATATATTATTAAATGGAATTCAAATAAATACAAAAAGAGCACCGTTATAGAAGCCAAAATGTATTCCGTTACATTGTCTGAATTATTAAAATATTATTATTTTTTAATAAATTTATTATAAAATAATTATTTATTTTATTATTTTATTATTTAAATTAATTTTTTAATAATTCGGAAGAAATTTCGGCGTCTCCTTTCGAAGAATGCAGCATTTTCCATACAAAAATTCAAAATAAGAGAAAACAAAAGTTTTACATGAAACTTGCTCAAAATTTATATTAAAAAAATCGAAAATGCTTTACTTTACCAATTCGTGCAACACGAAATCCGTACGTGCGATATTGCTGTCAACTGATGTGTAATACCATGTACGTGCGTGATTTCTGTAAACTCATGTGCTAATAATATTTTGGTTAAAAATTTAATTTGGTTCTTATAATATTATTTTATTTTAATTTAGTTTTATTTTAAATTTTTTTTACTTTTGTCTTTAATAATTTAAATTAGTATAATGTCGGACTTCCGTCCAAATATTTAAATGAAGTTAATTGTTAGGCACGTGGATGCCACGTAGATGTATAGGTGGATGCCAAATTTCTTTAGTGTATCTCAAACCAAAACGGCCCGTTCTGGTTGTACTTTTGGTGTGTTAATTTTGTACTTGGAACGGGCCGTTCTAGATGTAAAATTTACACACCAAGAGTACAACCAGAACGAGTCGTTTTGGTTCTAGAATGTCAAACACAAATGGTTGATGGTTATAGTTCACGCCCGTGATTCCAAATCACGGTTGTGAATCGTGCAAGGAAAAAGACCCAAGGTACAAAGCGTTTCCAACATTGAATTTGGTAATATTGTCAATGGGAATTGATAACTTCAATTGCTAAACATTTGGGCTATACAGTGTATCATTAAGGATAATGCAGTGCATCACTAAGGACAATAGTGACAGGTTTTATTTCATTGTTAGTCAAACTGGAGTGAACCACTTACTATCAAATCGACACTATACAGTCAAGAATGAAACGACACAGTATTTTTCCTTGAAGTCATTGACCGATGTACCCCAAGAGCAACAACTTGTTCTTAAGGAGGTACAACCTGAAGTAGAGGAAGAGGACACACAGGACTAACATTTCACCACACAACCACATGTACAGGTAGATAATGTTGATATCCTGTCAACCATTTTGTAACGTTTTAAAAAAAACATTTTTGGTTGATTTAGTAGCCTAGAACGGACTGTTCCCAATCTGGAACGAGCCGTTCCAAGCTATTAAATTAGCCTAAATTTCTAGGTTGGGAACGGTCCTAGAACGGGCTATTCCAAATTCCGGAACGGGCCGTTCTGGAAGGAGAACGGGCCGTTCCGGAGGGAGTACGGGCCGTTCCAGAGGGAGAACGGGTCATTCCGGATGAGTCCCGGAATGGGCCGTTCTGATTTCAGAACGTGCCGTTCTGGGTGTGGGTTTTGTGCGTGATTTGGGAGTTCGGAACGGGCCGTTCCGACTCGGTACGGGCCGTTCTGGGCAGTCCAGAAAATCCATAAATAGGGTTTAGGGGCCTTCAGAAGAACGTGAGTTTTAGAGAGAAGTTTTAGAGAGAAGGTCTCGGAGAGGGTCTGTTCTTTACAAGAGGATTCAATATTACATCGTTTATACCGTAAAACGATGTAAAACTCTTCCAATACTACATCAGTTAATTAGAAACCTGACGTAGAATATTGAACATTTACATCGGTCTCCTTTAAAACTGATGTAAATATCCCAACTTTCTACATTTAATTACAAAAATGCCACCATATTTATTTTTTACATCGTTTTTCATATAACCGATGTAGAATTGCCGTCGTAAAACAATAATTCTCTAATAGTGACATAACTCCTTGATGATTTATGATGTTGTATGTTTCTTGAATTTCACTGGATTTGTGGTCGTGATGATGTTTGAGATGGAAATTTGAAATTTGTGACTTTTGGTGTTCTTATGAGTGTTTAGGAGGAAATTGTGAATCTTGCTTTGAAATGGTTTCATGTTGATTTTGAGAATGGAAATGAGTTATTTTAAGAGTATAAATGTGTTGTTTGCATTACATGTTGAATTTCTTGAGTATAGGTGAGATTGATTCAAAACGTGAATTTCCAAAGTGCAAAATTCATCATTGTGCCAATTGCAACTTCAAGGCATCAAGCATGATGCAAGGTAGAGACTCTCTACCTTATTCTTGTTGGGCACAAGGTTGGTAGTGTTGAGCATGGGTTAAAGGGAAGCTATTTGACTTGGTGACATTGGATCCTAATTGAGTGACGTTAGGCATGATTAAGACAAAGACTCTCTACTTGAATGATATCAAATGCTAGTGTTGTGACATTGGACATTAGTTAGGTAGAGACTCTCTTTTTGAATAAGGTCAGACGTAGGTTTAACCACACCGGACGTGATTGTCACAGGGCTAAATGTGTTGTTTTAAGAGTATAAATGTGTTGTTTGCATTGCATGTTGAATTTTTTGAGCTTCAGGTACAAATTGAGTCAAACATGAATCTCTCAAGTGTAGAATTAATTCATCATTGTGCTAGTCGCAACTTCAAGGTGTCGAGTGTGATGCAAGGCATAGACTCTCTACTTTACTCTCTTTGGGCACAAGATTGGTAGCATCGTGCGTGGGTTAGAAGGAAATTCTTTGATTTGATGATGCCAAACCCTAGTTGAGTGGCGTTAGGCATGATCAAGATAGAGGCTCTCTACTTTAATGACATTGGATGCTAGTGTTGTGGCATCATATATGAGTCAGGTAAAGACTCTCTTCATGAATGAGGTCGGATATAGATTTAGCCACATTGGGTGTGATTGTCACAAGTAGGGGTTTTCAAAAAAACTATATTAAACTAAACTATTGTAAAAACTAAACTAAACTAAACTATAAAAAAACTAAACTAATTTTAATAAAAACTAAACTAAACTATATTTGAAGTTTAGTTTTAAAAACTAAACTATTA